ATCATCTCAAATATATTAATTTTTTTCATCTTATATTTTAGTTAAAAAATCAAAAAATTACTAAAATAACATATTTTCAAACCAACTCTAGATTCGTTCAATTATTAATGATTATTATTTTGACTCTCTCAATTATATAAATATATTATTTCTATCTCTTTCAAACTATTTAAAGAGTGCATATTTGTGCGATTTTTATAATTAAGAAAGTCCGTATTAATTCACAGATAAACAAAATAAAGCCTCCGTTTGGCAAGAAAAAACCCAGGTTTTTTTGGCTAAAATAGCCACAAAAAACAAAATAGGCTATTTTAGCCACAAAAAACAAAACATCAAATCCAACCCATAATCATTACAATCCTCTCTCACAAAAAAAGTCAAAAAAGCCAAAAAGCCCTTCCCAAACCAGGCTAAAATAGCCCAGGCTAAAATAGCCAAAAAGCCAAAAAGCCAAAAAGCCAACCCACTTCCCAAACGGAGGCTAAATATTGGATTAAAAATTACTAAAATAACATATTTTCAAACCAACTCTAGATTCGTTCAATTATTAATGATTATTATTTTGACTCTCTCAATTATATAAATATATTATTTCTATCTCTTTCAAACTATTTAAAGAGTGCATATTTGTGCGATTTTTATAATTAAGAAAGTCCGTATTAAATCACAGATAAACAAAATAAAATGATATTTATTAATAATTAGATGAGTCTTGGGGTAATTAAATTAAGAGCAAATGCCCACACATACCAAACCGATTTATTATTATTATTACTCCATTCGTCTTAAAATATTAGTTCTTTATTTCATTTTTTATTATCTCAAAATATTAGTCTTTTTTCAAAAATTAATATAAAGATAATATAAATTTCTTATTTTACTCTTCTTTTAAATTTATTAACAACATAAAAAATATAACTATGGCATTGATATTTTTCAAAAAATATACTATCAAATTAATTTTTTTTAAAGTACTACAATAGTTGTATTAATAAAAAAATTTGAATTTTTCAAAAAGAATTATTATTTTGAGATGAGAGAGTATGCTATTTGTGCTTAATTTTTTACCTGTTTTATCCCTTTTATCGCACCATGTCCTCCCACTCCTTATGGGAGCGAGGGGTAAAATTTTAAGTAATTATAGCATTGCTCTTACTATGATAGGTGTAGCGCGAATTACACTAATGATCTTTATAATTTAGGATTTATATCATTTTAGTTTATATTTTTTTAATTATGACATATTTAATTTTGAATTTTGAATATTGTTCTAAATAAGGATAATTGAAAATATCATTGATTAATTTTAAGGGCAACGTCGTCAATTTGATCAAATATAAATTAATTTAATAAAAATAAATGTCAAAAAAATATTTTTAAATTTTTTTAAAAAATACATCAATTACATGTTTATCATCCAAATGCATAATAAAAATTAATTTTGTAAATAAATAAATAAATGTGTAAAAAATTTATTAATTTTACATAATTTTATCTTTTGGCGGGTAAAAATTACTTTTAAAAATTTAAAAATATTTTTTTGATATTTATTTTTATCAAATTAGTTTATATTTTATTAAATTGATGACTTTGCCCTTGAAATTGAGCAATGATATCTTCAACTGTCCTTATTTAGAACAAAATTTAAAATTCAGAGTCAAATGTGTCACAATTAAAAAATCAAGGACTAAAGTGACATAAGTTCCAAACTATAGACTTAGGAGAATATTGGAAATTAAATTACAATGATAGGACAAGGATGAAATTAAAAGGCAGTGACTTCCCTCTAGTCTGTAATTGAATTGGAGGGTGTTGTTGGACCTGTGAGGACTCACTACGTGTCTCGTTTCAATAATTCGAACTGTTCAATATGTAGAACTCGTTGACTACTATATGCCTGTAAAAAATCACCTTAATCAGATATCGATAACCAAATCCAAATTAAAATTTCATTACGAGACTAGAGGGACTACAGTATTAATAATATATATGTTTTTTTATCATATGCATAATGTATAATATGATATATAAAATATATATTTACATAAAAAAAATTAAATACTATGTAAATATGATATATAAAATATATATTTACATAAAAAAAATTAAATACTATGTAAGTAATTTGTGTGACTGAATGGGGCGTGTTGAAAACATAGGATGAGAGACGAGTGAGATTTTCAAAAGGGCAAGGGGGCAATTCATGTATAAAATAATATGTATAGATATATTTTTGAAAAAATTACAATATATATATATATATAGGGTCTAACATTTGTAATAGAAAAAATATTGAATTTTAAGTTTGTCAATTTAAATTTAAAATTTTTGATTTATTTTAAATTTAAACTATTTGAAGTGTTGTAAGGGTCAAACTTTTATCGGGATTTATTTTGTTATAAGAATCAAATTCTAAGAATTTTTATATAAGGAAAATACCTTGTAGCCCGAAAAGGAGGGGTTCAAAATGCCCGAATGGGTGTTTACCGGATGACCGGGTGAAACACTTGTTTATTGCGGTTGTCACCCTATCAACCATAGGTGTCAATCTTCTTGCCGGACAACCGACTGGATGACAAACAAAATGAATTTCGAATATATGGGCCCAGTTCAAGTTCAAGCTACACAACAATTCCCTTTTTATAATTATTTTTATATTTTCTAAGTGTTAGTGGCAAATAATATCCTTAGAGCATGTTTGTTTTGAAGGATAACATCATGGGTTGGACTATTAGTCCGAATGGACTAATAGTCCGTTGTTTGGTATGAATTTTTTGATCCGGACTAATAATCCCCCCAAACTATTAGTCCCATATTTGTGGAACTACGCTATCCCATGGGAGAGGTGAGATAGAAACCATGGGATAACTCATCCCATGGGATTAGCTACTAAAATTACATTTTTGCCCTTTGGCATTTAATTATGTATTATATTAGTAAAATTCAATAAAATTTAAATGTTTCAATTTAGAAATAAAATAGTTTTATTTAATTTTTATTTTTGTTTTATTTATTTGATTTTTTAAAATAATTTTTTATAGATATTTTATTGATGTTTTATTTTAAAATTTTGTTTATATTTTATTTTATTTTATTTCATTATTTATATTTTAATAGATGTTTTATTTTATTTCATTATTTCATTATTATTATTATTTAAAATAAATTTATTTAAAATTTCAATTAAAAAAATAACATATATTTTTATTGTTATTTAATTTTTTTAATTTTTTTAAAATAAATTTATTTAATTGTGCAAAAAATAAAATAAAATAATTTTTTATTTAATCTAGCTAAAAATAATTAAAATATTAAAGCTATGTTTAATATTGCTATTACTTTAGTAAATAATTGAAAATGATAAAATAGTCATTTAAGCATTTATCATTCTCCATAACATCCCAAACGAACATTGGACAACTAAAAATAGTCCAATCCAGACATCTAATTCCATGACTAAACAAACATAAGATACAAATCTAGTCTAACCAAATAATTCGGGGACAATGTATCCTAAAACTAATAGTCTGATAGATTATAATTTTTTTTTATCCAGTCCGTCCAAACAAACACACCCTTAATATAGAGGTAGGAGATATCACCTCTACTACCACTCCTGCCCCCATCCCCACGCTGCAATCTATATTCTAAACAGTTAGAATTTGTGTATAAATTGTTTCATTGAAACACAACATGCAATTCTGAACCAACAAGAAAAACAAAATGAAAAAAAAAATTACAACATGCAATTATAATTTGTGTATGAATCTTAGCGCTTATAAAAATAATATAACCATAATAAATTATGTCATTCTTTATAAAAATAATATAATTATTTCATTCCTATAACCATATTCTCAAGCTTATTTTGAGAAGTAAATTAAAAATTACTTTTCAGTTTTTAATACACTTTTCTCTTTCACAAAAAAATTAAAAAATAATTTTTTATTATCTTTTCAAAACTCCCCTCATATTATACTTGTATATAGGTTACACTATATAAGAAAAATATATTATTTGTTACTAAAATGAATTATCAATAATAATATTGATCCCCATCTAAGAAAAATAATATTATTAAGGTCAAATGATATACAATACAACAATGTGAGAAAAAAATAAAAAAAGATGAAAAGGAAAGTCTATCAATATCCGAAACATTGAAGGAATCCAACGGCTGAGGGACAGCCATTCGCGGAAACACGGAGCCGCTCATGCCCAAGACCTTGGAATGTAACCCAACCCCCCAACCCCAACCCACACTCTCCTAACCCAACCCACACATTCTCTCTCTCTCTCTCTCTCATGTTATTAGTTAACCACTGGCCCACCACCATCACTACCAAACTAACTTAACCTTAGTTAACTTCACTTTAGCACCTACCTCATTTGCGTTTATGGATGGTTTTGAGAAGTTAGGTTAAAAATTGATTTTTTAATTTTTAATTTTTTTAAAAAATTGTATAAAAAATAAAAAATAATTAGTTTGTTTTGATTTTGGTTTTGATTTTCAAAAAATAGTTTTCATTTTGATTTTGATTTTCAGAAAATTTTATTTTTTTATTTTTCGTATTTTAATATTTTTAATGAATTTTTTTAATATTTTAAGTAATTTTTTTAATTTTTAAACACACCTAATATAAATATAAATATTTGTAATTTTTTTTAAAAAAATTCATTAAATACTAAAAAATATGAAAATTAGTACATTTTTTTATATTTTTGTGTATTTATTACTTTTTAAAAATATTTTTTCATAAATATTTTATTATTTAGATACATCTAAGTAAGTTGTATCTAAAAAAATAAAAAAAAAATACTTAAAATTTTAAAAATATCCACTAAAAACAAAAAAAATATAAAAAATAAAAAATTCATTTTTAAAAAAAATAAATTTAAAAAATGGAAACAAAACGCACTATATGATTCAAAATAAATTAAAAAATAAAAAATTCGCTTTTAACTATGGCCCCAAATTGGCCCTATATATATATATATTCCTCCACTCCGTTTCAAAGCCTAATCTCTCTGTCTCTCTCTCTCCCCAGTTTCTGCGTCTGGCTACCAAATTCATTTCCTCGTTTATAGCTTGAATCTGATATGTTGAGCTTGTAATCATGAGTTGCAATGGATGTCGAGTTCTTCGAAAGGGTTGCAGCGAAAACTGTATCCTCCGACCATGCCTTCAGTGGATCGACTCCCCTGAATCTCAAGGCCACGCCACCGTCTTCGTCGCCAAGTTCTTCGGTCGCGCCGGCCTCATGTCCTTCATCTCCTCCGTCCCCCCAAATCAACGTCCCTGTAACTCTCTCTCTCTCCCTCTCTCTGTGTTCGTGATTATGCAAAAACCTATTTGTATGTAGTAATCGATTTTTGAATCTCTTAGATTTATTTCTATTTATTCGTGTTTCAGCTCTGTTTCAATCGCTTTTGTTCGAAGCGTGTGGCCGGACCGTGAACCCGGTTAACGGAGCGGTCGGGCTTCTCTGGACCGGAAACTGGCACCTCTGCCAGGCTGCGGTTCAGACCGTCCTCCGCGGCGGCGCGTTGCGGCCGATCCCGGAGTTCTTCGGCGGCGCCGTCCTGACTCCGCCGGACCTCGACGAGGCTTCCGAGGCTGAAGTCACCTGTTCAGACATGTTTAAACTTTATCACCATCAAGATCCGAACCCTGACTCACGATCGAAAGCGGCGCCCAAGCGCCGCCGTATCGGCGACGAATTAGAGAACCTCGGGCTCAGCTTGACGCCATCATCATCGGAAGCAGTTGTCGGAAGAGTACTGAATTTTTGGAGTTCGCCGGAAAAGCTGAGACCTGGGACGCCGTCGATGAATTCGGAGGAATCTGGGACGACGACTTTACATGAAAGTGGTGGTTTTGGAGATCAAACGAAACTTCTAAACTTGTTCACCTGATTCGGTGTAGAAATATATTTTCTTCTAATTAATCAACTACAATTTTTGTATTTTTGTATTTTTTTTTTTTGAGTTTTAAGGATTTTCCTGCAATCGAAGTTCCGGTGAGATTTTGTTAATCGCCGTCACAAGATTTCCCTGTTGTTCCCTGTTTGGATATGAGGAAAAAAGAGGGAGAAATGAAAGTTTGCCGGTGATCCCCTTTTTCTTTTCTAGTATTTGTCTTTTGTGATATCAATAAATCAATTGTTTTGTTTTTCTCTAATTTTGTGGGGGCCTTAAGTTGGAATGATGAGGTAAGAAAAAGAAGAGAACCACCAAGCGCCATCTAAGTTGGTAAGGAGTATGTTTTTTTCTTTACTGATCAGGTTTGAATCCCCTTGAAAGTATTCTGGGTATCAAAAAAAGAAAAAAAAATGGGGAGATGTAGATCCAAGCAAAAGAGAATATTCATAGGCTATTTTTCACAAATTCTCTCTAACTATGTAGTTCTTATTCATTTATTTTATTTCGTTATCGTGGTAAGGATGATTTCTTGTATGCTTTCGACTTGATCGGATGATTTCAAGTGGAAAGAAATCTCAATTAGATATCGGTGTAGTGTTAGGCCAAATATTTTCTTATATTTAAGTTAGTAAAAACTTGTATTAGAATAAACTTCCTATGAATGAGGTGTTGAAAGTAGGGTTTTAGGGTTTCGAGTGTTGTATAATCTGTGTCTTTTGTTTTTTTCTTTGTTGTGATATTGTTATTGTGATTCGATAGTTGAGGTTTAAAGTTGTAATAGAAGTACATTATTTTGAGATGTGTTATTCTAAAATTATTTTATTTGAGGTGTAAATTTAACCATTGAATTATACTTTTTGCTACTATATAGCATGAAAAAATCACAAGGTCATAGCACCAAAAACACAATGGAGAATCCCTACATTTTAAAAAGAATCTCTCTTCTAATCACTTCGTAGTAATGGGTGTCATGTAGTGTGCCATGTGTACGTCGGACTTTGTTGGGAGACACCTGCCTATTGGACTTAGTTTAATTATCTATCCATCAACGATAAAATTAAATATTATGAGCTCGATTTTAAATTTGTACTATAAATAGGTTCATTAGATAGTCGAATTTGTGATCTTATAAGGGAATATTTGGATTTTAACTCATAAATGTTTATGGTAATTTGGTTTATATAAATAGAAATGCGTGTGAAAATTTGAATACAACTTCTGAAAATTTGAATATGTTTGGATGTTTGGTCATTCCACTCTCATACGACCAAACTCTCAATATTTTAGGAGCTTATCCCGCATCAGTTTGCATAATGCAACAACTCTCATATGAAGTCGACAAAATTCAATATTAGTTTTGAATTTTTATTATAAAAAATTCTGCCAGATTGATATAGCATTGCACTTGCGAGTTCATTTTGAGGATAAATTACAATAATTTATTCTAAAATTAGGAGAAAACACATTAAATTATATAATTTTAGTGTAATTACATTGATCTTTCATTTCATAAAATTTAAAAACCAGAACTAATGCAGATGTTATAAAAACATATAAATGAACCAGATTAGGGATGGCCACGGGGCGAGTTCGTCATTCCTCGCCCCCGCCCCCGCCCCCCATTACGGGTGACTAAAACATAATTTACTCCTGTCCCACATAAGTATTGGGACAAGTAAAATCCGTCCCATTCAGGCGGGTATAGGCAGGCCCTGTTGGTCGGATTAAAATGGCTATCTCTAAACCATGTTCATATTTTTTTTATTCATATGATTAACAAGTTATTGATGAAAAGTGATTACATGTTATGCAAATTAAAACTTTAAAAGAGTTTTTTTTAATAATGTCAAATTTGTATGGCTTATTATATTTTCTCTAAATTTCAGAAAAAGTTAGTGTAATTTATCCGCATTTTGATTATATAGGGTATTATATAGAATATTGTCAGAAGTTTGAATTTATAAATTTAAACCAAAAAATTTATGAGAGTAATTTAATACTTAAGAAATTACTAATCATTTTCATGAACAATGGTATACAAGCTTATTTTCTTAATTCAATGGTGTGTAAGAAATGTGATGATTAGAGAGAATACAAGAGAAATAAAAAAATTATCTTAAATATTTTAGTAGATTGACTCATCATTAAACTTAAAAAATGAGTTTAGTTTTTGAATTAGAGTAACACTACTTAATTTTCATTATAAAATTTATATTTATAAAAAAAAAAATTCGTTTTGGTGAATGGTTTTATCTTCTTGGTCTTGTACAAGTTCATGATTCATTCAACCTTATCTAATACGTTACTGAATAATTTAAGGTAACATTATACAATGTTTGACTGAATCGAATAACATTGATCAAACACATCTGATGAAGCAACCCCCAAAGCTGCAATCCGATTGGAAGGGAGAGGTCGTTGGTCCGGGTCCAGATGTTTCGGGTCAAAAGTTTGACCCGTCCACGAATTGTTGGATATAGATTCTTCTCATCAATACGTGGAGCCACGCTATACAATGCTTTTGATTCGAGCCACAGATCATATCATATTATATATTTACCAAATAAAAAATTGGAAAATGTTTGGTAGCTCAAAATTTTGTGGCTCAAATTGCTCAAATCTGTCAAAACGACGTCGTTTTACACTTAAAATCTGTCAAAACGATGTTGTTTTGAGTGATTTGAGTCATTTGAGCCACAAAATTTTGAACTACCTAGCATTGTTGTAAAAAACTGGCCCTTTTTTTTCCCAAAAATAAAATAATAAAAAATTGGTAATTTGGATCGTCACTACTCCTCACGCGCTCTGGTCGTTTTGCCTCTATTACAAATGAAAAATAATTTACAAAAAATAAAAAATAAAAAATATTTATGAGATTCAAATTATATTCTAACTTGTTTATTTCTTTCAAATTGAATTTAACAGGATTTTAAATGAGTCAAAATCAAGTAAATTTTCATTATCAACTTGAGTATTAGTTCTTCAAAAAAAAACTTGAGTATTAAAAATTATCAAAATTTAAAATGTGTTTAAAAATGATTTATTAATGTAATAAGTTGATATAAAATGAATTTTTAATGAGTTGTACATTTATTAATTTTAACTAATTTAGTTCATTTTATGGTGTTAATACAATCTTACATGAAAAAATTATTAAATAGTTCTTGAAGTATAATATAACATTATTTTCATAACAAATAAGAAATTACAAAATTATTATGTGACATATTCCTTCCTAACAATTAGACCTATTTTGACAATACGGTCAACAGTTAATTTTTTTTTAATTTTTTGAGTCACATCATCTTTTTATTTTTTTTTATATATATTTTTTAAATTAAAAAATTTAAAAAATTAATTTTTAATCTACTTCTTAAAACAAATCTTAGATTGATATTTGTAGAAAAAAATTAAAGATAGTGTTAATATGACAAGGCAGTAGAGCGTGTATGGGACTGTAGATATGATCGCGTGGGGGGTTAAAGTAGGAGGAAGTGAGAAAACTTGAAGCAGTTATCTTTATTCTGCGTGTAGTTGTAAAAGTCTGTGGTATGGATACTCATCTCATCTCCATCTTCATCTTGTTTTTGGAAACTATTTAATATTTTTAAAATATTACGTGATCATATTTTAAATTAATTATTAATTATTTAATTTTTATATTGTTTTTTCATCTTCAATGTAAATTGTGAGCTCTTATTTTTTTTACTAATCAAAATTTTATAACAGATAACATATCTATACTTCAAAAATACTAAGGCCTCGTTTGGGAACAGGCTAATTTAGTAATTTTTTGATTATTTGGCTAAAAAGGTAGGTAAAAAAAACTTGTATGTTTGGAATGACTTTTTGGCTAATTACGAAAAGATGTGCAAAAAGTAGAGAGAAAATAGAATTTTTGACTTTTTGGTATGGGTTGTTGACTTTTTGACTAATTTAGTAACTTTTTGACTAATTGGCTAAAATAACCTCTTGCCAAACGAGGCCTAAATAATCTCTTATTGTTTATTATGGGGACCTTTCGGCGGACACAAAACAAACAGCTACTTAGCTGTGTTGTTTGTTTGGAGGAGGAGGAGGAGTGAGAAAGTAGAGAGAGAAACGGCTTTTGGAGAGTGGTAAGAGGCGTATGGAAATGGGAAAGGAATCAAATTTCTTCCTTCCTTGTGGGTATAACGTCGTAATAGTTTGTACTATTTTTGACGTTATTTATTATTATTTTAATTTAATTTTTGTTTTTATATGTTGGGGGGTCCATCGTAGTTTGCAGTTCCTCCGTCTCTTTCGCCCAATCGTAGCAAACTGTACGTACGGTTCCTCACACCGTCAGTCTTTGTTTAGCTTTTTTTATTTTTTATTTTTAATTGCACTAATTTTTTTTTTAGAGGCTCTAAAATTTTTTATTAAATAGTCTAGTATTATTATTAAAAAAATCTAAGTGTTAATTAAATTATGACCTTTTAATTATTAGTCAATATTATTTTATTTTTTATTATAAATTCATAATCTTTTCATCTTCGAAAAATATATAAATACACATATTTTAAAAGTGGTCTAGAGGGATAAGATTGATATATTTTTATAATTGAACATGTCAAAATGCATAGATTCATATGTGAAGGAAGTAAAGTAATCCTTGCAAATAGTTAAAAAAGTGTTGATGCAATTAATCCAAAATAGAAAAATCTCACAATTTTCACATAATTATATTAGATTTTCATAAAATTGTAATTCACATAACATTTAACTTTTTTTATTTTTATTTTTTGTCAATAAAATTCATTAAGTTAACGTGTTGAGAATGTGTAATAACTAATAAATTTATCAGGTGATATAGTTAATATTATATAAAATGCCACATCAGATAGTATTCAATAATAGTTATCCTAATTGTGTTTTTATTTTATTTTGTCTAAAAAATGTTATTTGTTTATTTTCCTCTCATTTGGGTGTGTATTTCTGTTGTTTTCTTTGGTATGTTTGGGCACATCTCATCTCATCTCATCTAATTTCATGTAAAGTTTATAATTTCATGTAAAGTTGATTTTTTAATTTTTTAACTATTTTAATTTAGGATTAAAAAGTTTGGTTTAGATAAATTTTTTATGGGTCTTTTGAGAAAAAAATAAAAAAAGTCAATTTTTAACTTTTTTTCTCATTTTGAGTCACATCATCTCTCACATTTTTTACTCACAAAAAAACAAAATAGATTAATTAATTTTTTTACTAACTTTACAAAAAGCTTCTTAATTTTTGTGA